GCGCTGCCCGGGGCCGGCAGGAGCCGGGGCTGCAGGCCGTTCGCCCGCGGCGAGACTGGGCGCACCGGGCCGCGCGACGCTGCTGCTGCCGCCGCGGGGGACAGGTCTGTGACTTTCGGTTTGTTTCGCGGCGCTGCCCCTCCCGGGTTGGGGCACCAAAGGGAATTTGTCTGAGGCCCCTGGGCGGCTCCTTCGAAGCCGGGGGTGTGGGACAAGAAACTGTCGCTGCTTTATTAGGGCCGCTTTGGGACAGCGCATGGGGTGGCGGGTCCCGGGGCAGCGGGAGCCGGAGGAGTTGTTAGGCGACGCGTCACCGAGTCCTCGGATGCACCCTGGAGATCCGGCCCGGGGAACTCGCCCGTGCCCGTGCCCGCGCCGCGCACCCCCCCCCCATCTTTTACCCTCCCCCACGCGTCCCCTCCCAGCCCTGGTCGCGCGCCTCTGCGTCCCTAGAAGTGACCCACGGGCCCCTCTGCAGCCAGGGCCCCTCGGGAGGAGGGGGCGCAGGCGCGGGCCAGATGTTGGGGGTCTACGTGAGGCCACGCGCTCGGAGAAGGGCAGGGCAAGACAAAGCAGGTTGGGATCACGGGGCGCAGCTCCAGCAGCGGTAGACTCGGGGTCCTGCCTGAGGTGGGGGTAGGCTGGTGGCGCGCCCGGGTGGGAAAGAGTAGCAACCTGGGCCGAACAGGGATGGGGACTTGCTGGGGCGAAGGAGAGGAGGCGGCTGGTGAATGCAGCGCTGGCGTGTGCCTCTGGGCTGGGGAGCAGGGGCCCTGCACCCCCACCTCGCAGGTTCACCTAGGACACCTCGCCGCGAAGGCCAGCTTCCCGCCGGCTTGCTTTTCGCAGGGTTACGTTGCTCCAAGCGGCTCTGCAGCCAGAGGAGAACTTGGGGGGCGGGGGACACTGCGGAGGAGGGGAGGTGGCTATTCATCCGAGGGAGACAATTAGGAGGCGTCCCGCCCCAGCTCGGCCGCCGGCCCTCGCCGCCCCCTCCACTCCCCAGGGCCGCGCCGCTGGCCCGCGAGGCGGCCTCGGTTTCTCTCTGCCGCGCGTGTCTAACTCATGCTGCCTGTGTTTCACTGCAGGCGGAACAAAGCTCGGTCTCAATTGTGTCTCCGGCTTGTCAGCCTCCTGCCTCCCAAACGCGTTCCATTTCCACTTGATGTCTCCACGCCGAAGGAGGGGAAAAGGAATCGGTGACAGATTCAGGTACACCCCGCCCCTCCCCCAATAGTCTGGGTCGCCGCCTGGGTGGCCCAGGGTCATTTGGGCGAGCCGGGCTGCACCGGGCCACTGGGGCGGCGCCTTCCACGACCCCGTGGTGTCCGTGGGAAGAGGGGTGGGTGGGCTGCCAAAACTCGGGGGGCAAAGGAAGAAATTGCAAATGACTTACCACCTTCCTTTTGAGGAAGTCTTTGGGGGCACGGTGACTTGGGGCGGGCCTTCTGACTGGGGATTCTGATTTCATGGAAGCCTAGGCAGTTGTCAGTGGGTTTGGACAGATGCCTGCTTTCTTATCTGTAGTAAGATGTTTTGGTTTCCGTTTATCTGTGGAATAGCATTGGTGGCAAAGGCATGTTTTAAGGCTGAGAAATTGGAACAGGGCTCAGTCGGGGCGCTGAACCTATAGGGTGACCTTCTAATGAGATCCTATCTCCCCCCACCCCCTCCCCATCCCTTCACTGTAAGAGTATTTGCAATCTTAAGAGCCGGCCGATGGGGTGCGGACAGGAAGTTCTTGGGAGGTGGAAGGGAGCGCCAAGGAGTTCCCTTTTCTACCGACATCAACCATTAGGCCCTCGTTCTGCATCTTATCTTGAGGTGGTTGGTTCTTTTCCAGCCATTCTGGCATGCCCTTATCTTTCCAAGGATCGTTCTTTCCTTTTGGTCTTGGTGGTAACTTCAGCAGACCTGGGCTTATCTTGATTGAGCTCAGTGCACAGGTAACCTTGAGATTGGCATGGGCATCTTCTCCTGGTAGGGTGCAGGCCTGGGCATCTTTCACAAGTGGTGGGGGCATGGAAATGGCCTAAGGGGTTTTTGTGTTTTGTGTTCTGATAAAGACCGGAAGAGCTGAAGGCCAGAGAGGGGCTAGGTGCTGCAGCTGCACCACTGTAAGGGGACAGGCTTCTCTCTGTCCAAATTCTTTCTTACTGAGTGAAACCATTTGGAAGAATGTCACTCACCTCTGGGGTGGTGTTATCTTGAAAGGTGACTCTAAAAAGACAGTGGGTGGCATTTCCCCCTTCTCCACAAAGATTCCAGAATCACTAGAAGGAGACAGAGCTCTCTCGTCCCAGCAGAAACAACAACCGGTGCTCTGGAAACAGCCAGGTTGGCTTCTGTGGTGCTAGGAGTGAGGTATTTGGACTAGTGATTTTTTTTAAATGTCAGCAATAATTCAGGGCGTGGACGGTGTCACTGCAAGAAGGAAAGCCACGTGACGGGATAATGGGGAGTGTGAGAGTTCAATAGAAACAAAGGGTGTGGCTTTTTTTTAAATAGAAAGAAAAAAATACCTCACACACAGAATTACACACGGGAAAACAGCTGTCCGCACCTGCAAATGCACGTCCCAGAACAAAGAGAGCCACAGTGCAGTGTTGGGCGTCACTGTGGGTTTACACTGTGCAAATCACAGAATAACACCGCATTGTTGTATGTGTGTGTGTGTGTATGCATATGTATTTTGTCTGTTTATTTTGAGAAGGAGCTCCCGGGCCCCCTGGTAGCTAGTGTGTTCAGCTTGATGCTGGAGAAGACCTTGAGGTTTCTCAGACAGACCTTTGCCTCAAGTGCCCGAGTCCTTTCTACACGCTCATTAATGCAATCAGCAGATGTTTATCAGGCAGCTGGCAGAGAATGGGCTTTTCGATGGGCGCCTAGGTGTGTGGCGAAGAGAATGACACCCTCGGGCTCTTCCAGGGTGGTCGCCAAGTGGAGACTAGATTCTCACGGAGTTCACTCTGGAAGAAAGAGGAACTACAGGGAGCGGTCTCTCACTGCTGCCTAGTACCACCCAGGGGAGAAGGCCTCCTGGGCTGCGTTACTTTTGTCCTCAGCAGGGGCTTGAAGGCATCCTTCCATATGAATGGTCAGCTTTCACCTCTGCGGATCCTCTAGCCCCCTTCACTGTTCTAAGACCTTTTCTGTCCCTGGTGCACTTGAGTTTCCAAACAAATTCTGCTTTTCTGTATTATCTGACTTAGCCAGCAGTTGTGGGAAGGTTCTCCATCTTTGAACTGTGTTGTATCAGCAAGCTAGGTTAGGGTATGCTACAGTAACAAATAACCCCCTGATCTCAGGGGTTAAATGCAGTTTGTTTCTCAGGCTGCATATCCAAGGTGGCAGACCCTTCTCAGTCTAGTTGGTCACTGAAGGGCCCACGTTGGTGGGAGTTTTAGTTTGACTTGTGCTTACAAGATGACTACAGTGCTGGAAAAGATACGCTGAAAGCTCCTGCCCAGCCAGTGATATCATCTGGCCTAGAAGGAGGAGCTCTGGTGGCGCAGTGGCTAAGCGCTTGGTGGCTAACCCAAAGGACAACAGCTTCAGCTTAATACCCACTCTGCTGTCTTGTGTAGTTGACATGTTGCCAGGAGAGAACAGTCCCTGGAGAGGTGCATCATGCTACGTAAAGTAGAGGGACAGCAAAACAGAGGAAGGCCCTGGACAAGATGGATGGGCATGGGGGCTGCAACGTAAGAACAATTGTGAGGCTGGTGCAGGACCGGCAATGTTTCTTTCTCTTGGACATATCGAGTCACAATGACACTGAGCCGTCTCGATGGCACTTAACAACCACACCTGCTCTGTAGGAGAAAGATGTGGCAGCCTGCTTCTGTAAAGACTTACAGTCTTAGAAACCCTCCCTGGGGCATTCTGCTCTGTCTTACAAGGAGGCTGTGAGTTGCAATATTGGCCCAGGCAGGATTGAGATCACTTTGGCCAGAAATCATCACAGGATCCCAGTTAGCCACAGTTTACTATTCTTTGCGCTCTAAAGGAGACCTGGATGTAGGTGACATGTGCTGGGAACTTCTACAAGGAAGGTGGCCTCGGTTATCAATGTGATCCCACAGGGCCTGGCTCCATGCTCCGTGGGAACCGTGTGTTATGTGAGTACATATTGAATGAAGGATAGAATATCGGAAAGAATTTGGTCCTGCCTAACGTCTTAGGTACTAACATATCAGCGTCGTGTTGACCAATATGATTGTGGAGTCCCTGGGTGGCAGGGGGGTGGGCGGGGTTGCACATGTAGTTAGCACTCACTTCTAGCTGAAAGGTGGGTGATCTGAGTCCATCCACAGGTGCCTTAAAGGAGAAACCTGGCCACCTGTTTCGGGACGAGCAAACCCTTCACGGAGAGATGGGAAAAGATGCTGCTGTTCCTGCTCAAAGCTCTGTGTGTGTGTTCCAACAGCCTACTACAGCGACTGAATGCCTATTGGGATAAGACAATTACTTATTTCATGTTTAGGGGTATTCTATTGTGACTGACTTACTGTCCAAATAAGATTCAAAGAGAGAGGGGCCTCAGGGAGTGTGTGTGACCTCCATTTCCTTCAGGTGGCACTTGAGGCCCATGGTTCTCAGCCTGGATCAGCCAAGACTACTAAGACCTCCTCCTCACTATCTCATTATCCAATACCTCCTGTATACAATAGTAAAAAATATCTACCGTCCCACGATTTTGTGCATTAATTATGTATGAATGAATTAAGCAGTAATGAACTTGTGAAGCAAGAGTAAGGTTAGGTTGGCTGTGATGGTTAAGGTTGTGTGTCAACTTGGCTGAGCTTTAGTCGTTTGGCAGTTGGGGAATGATGTCACTTGACAGTTAATGTAATGATATAGGTATTTTCCAGTTTTGAAATGATGTAATCCTTCTTTTTTTATATAACACTGATTTTATATATATATATATAAATATCCTGGTTTCACCTGGTCTTTGGAACCGAGCCATATGGATAAGTGAGATGGTTGTTGGGTGTTCTGATTCTTAGCGATGCTCTGTACCACAGAACAAATGGGTATATGTTGTGGGGCTGTGGAAGACTGATCCAAAGGACCAATGGTCATTTAGTTTATTTAACGCCCAACTCATGGCAAACTCACATGAGTTAAAGCAGACTGGGCTTCCCAGGGTTTTCAGGGGCTGATTTTTTTTTTTTTTTAGTTGCTTTTGGATGGACTCAAATCTCAACCTTTTGGTGAGCATTCGTGTTCTTTAACCACTTGTGCCATCCAGGGACTCCACTTGTGATTTACTGTCTACTCTTGGGAATGGAGGGGTGCTGCATTGAGAAAACTCACTACAAACACATTACACAGTGAAAGTTATTCTAATATCACATGCGTTTCCTGGGGTATCAGACCTTCCTGTGAAGAAGGGATTGATAGAATGAAGGCGTGGAATGTACAGTGTCTTGTTCTGTGTTCGCATTCTCCTCTTTCTGCTTCCTCCCTCATTCTCATCTACCGTGCCAAGGCCACTTTCCCGGCCCAGTTCCCATTGTAAATCCAGATAGCACACCCGTGCCTCACTGAGGTTCTATAAGAATTGATGAAATTTGGGTAAAAGCTTTGATAGGTACTGTGGAAATAGACAACATTCTTACTAATGGTTTTGTTCTGTTTACTAACAGATGGACTGTCCCGCCATAGTGACAATCCCACATCTTTCTGAGTTGCTGTCCCTACTGTCCCATTCTGACAAAGAACGATGTTTTTCACTTGTGGCCACGTCCCCTTTTGGCTTTTCCATCGTGGAACCGTATTACAAGATGCTGCCTTAGAGGACATGTGCTTGGGTTCATCATCCTTGCCCTTGCTGCTTCACCTTCAGTGGCTTTTGCCCTTGTGGGGGATGAAGTTTATCTTAGAGTATTCTTTGAAAGTATTCTGCAGCTTGACTTTAAACTCCTTTCCAAGATTAACCTCTCTTTAAGTAACAATTGTATATTATAAATTTGGTGGGGGAAGGTTTACATTTCAAATGGTCAACTTTGTGTTTATAGTCTCTTCCCTTTGGTATGAAGGTCTTCATCTCGTGTTTCCTCCTATAACAGTAGTCTCATATAGTATCTGTCCTTTTACTATTGGCTGATTTCACTCAGCTTAATGTTCTCCAGCTCCATCCGCCATGAGGTGCGTTGTGGTTTCCTCACTGGTTTTTAGGGATGCGTAGTGTTCCGTTGTGTGTA